ACTATGTAACACAAAGCAGAGGATGATGCATGCATGAGACAAGAAATTAAAGGTTGAAGAAAGATTTGATAGGAAACTAAGATTTTGTTTTTGTTTTTGCTTTTTTGCCTACTGGGGATTGCATCCAATGTCTTCACACTGGACTACATCTCCAGCCTCTTTGTTTTTAATTTTTAGTTAGAGACAGGGTTTCATTAAGTTACTAAATTACCCAGTCTGGGCTAGAATTTGTGATCCTTCTGACAGCCTCCCAGAGTGCTGGGATCACAGGTGCCTGCCAAAACACCCAGTTAAGAATTATTTTTATAACAAAGAAATAGGACTTTAACTGATTCTACATTTCTCCAGGGCAACAATATCTACAATTCAATCAATACAGCCCGGACAATGGAATTGTAACCCATCAACGATATTGGTGAATATGCAGTACATCCAAAGATCCTCTTATAAGGTTTGTACAAGATATTTTCATGACATAGACTTCAAAGTCATGCAGCTAGTAAAGGTCTTAAGTTTGAGGCAGGACAGGGGATCTCAATCAAATACATTCCATTATGCAGTAATTTGTTAATTTAAAATTATTAGAATATCCACTTTCTAATAATAATTATTTATAAAAGACAACAGTGAATAATGACATGATTACAAATTGCCTTCCAGAATTATCTGAGATCAAAAGTTTTTCATTACCAATTCTAACATAATACACCGATACTTCACAATAGTAAATGTTTAATTAAACATATCTCAATACAGGGTTTTGCAATTTGTCACTTCCTCAAAAACTAAACATGAAACTTCCAAATGACCCAGCAATTCCACGCCTAGGTAATACCCCAAAGAATTAAAAGCAAGAACTTGAACAGATACTAACACACCAATTTTCATAGCAGCATGAAACACAAGAGTCAAAAAGTGGAACTCAAGTTTCCATCAATGAATTAAAGAACAACCAAAACTCGGTGTGAAAAGACAACAGAACATTGTTTGGCTGTAAAAATGAATGAAGTTTTGATATATGCTGCATGATTAAGTCTTGAAAACAGTGTACTAAGCAAAATAAGGACAAATACAAATGAACAACTATTGTATGATTCCACTTCTATGAAATGTCTAGAATAGGTAAATTCATAAAGGCAGGAAGTGGATCAGCGATTGCCAGGACTAAGAAAAGGAAAAGGGCAGAGTTACAGCTTGACAGCTGCAGTTTCTACTTGGGTAAGGAAATGGTTTTAGAAGAGGAGGGCTGACAATGGCGTACTTGCATCAGTGCAATGAGTGTCACTCCACTGAACACTTAAGAATGACTAATGTGGCAAGTTTTATGTGATATATTTAACACAATAAACATTATTTTATTTCACAACTCATATAGATAAGAAGCTTTTGTCTGCATGATCCTAGGTAAATCTCAACCTGTTCATGCGTCAGTTTCTTCATCCATAAGAGGAATAAAATCAACTGTCAATGCGGAGACCTAGAGCAGGGCACTGACCAGAACTTGTAATGGAGAAAAATAAATCCTCTGTATAAATAAAACTATTTGATCTTTCACTACCTTGGTTATATCAACTCCTAAGTATTTAATTTTTGTTGATGCTATTGTTAATGGTATTAATTTCCTAATTTCTTTCTCAGGAAGTTTATTGTTGGCATACAGGAACACTATTAGTTTTTGTGTGTGGACTTTATATCCAGCCATGCTACTGAGTTTGATTAATTATTCTAGAAGTCTTTTGGTGAAATTTTTGGGTCTTTTTTGTAGAAGATCATGTCACCTAAAAGTAATAATAATCTGGGTTTCTTCCCTTTCTATACATATTACTTATATCTCTTTCTCTTGCCTAAATGCTCTGGCTAATGTTATGAAAAAACTACATTGAACAGGAGGATGATAGTAAACATCCTTGTCTTGTTCTTGACTTTAGAGGAAAATCTTCCAATTTTCCCCAGTTTTTCCCAATGAATGTCTGTCATCAAAGACTGTTATCAGATTGAGAGAAGGTTCTTGTATATCTATTTTCTTCAGGTTTTTAAAATCATGAACGGATGTTGAATCTATGAAAGGCTTTTGCTGTATCTACTGAGATGATCAAGTACTTTTTATCCCGGCTGCTGTTAATATAGTTTTTTGTTTTGTTTTGTTTTGTTTGTGTGTTTGTTTTGTTTCAGGAATCAAACTCAGGACCTTGCATTTGTCAGACAGGCGCTGTGTTCTGTTTATATGATGGATTACATTTACTGATTTGGGCATAACCATCCATCCTTGTATCCCTGTAATGAAGCTTACTTGGTCATGATCTGTGGTCTTTTTGATTTTTTTTTCAATTTGTTTGCTAGCATCTTGTGAGAATTTTTGCACCTACACTCATTAAATACATTGGCTTGTAGTTCTCTCTTTTGGTTGGGTCTTTTTCTGGTTTTGGGATCAGCATAATGCTAGCCTCCAGGAATGACTTTGGAAATACTTCTTTCCTTCCAATTTCATGAAAGATCTTGAGGAATATTGGTATCAAATCTTCTATAAAGTTCCTGTAGAGTTCAGCAGTAAATCCACTGGAATCTGAACTAAGTTGGTAGTTTTTTTGTTTGTTTTCTTTTTTGGTACTGGGAATCTAATTAGAGACTCTCGCTTGCCAGGTAGGCACTGTGCCACTGAGCTATACTGCCAGTCAGCTGGTAGGTTTTTTTAATTATTTTTTCAGTTTTATTGCCTGGTACTGAATTGTTCTGGGTTTTTATATCTTCTTGGTTCAGTTTTGACAATTCACATCTATCTAGGAATGTATCAATTTTTTCTGAATTCTCTAATTTATTAGAATACCCATTCTCAAAGTAGTTATTAATAATCTGGATTTTGAAGGTATCCATTGTGACTTTGCCTTTTTCTTTTCTAACTGCACAAATCTGTGTCCTTTTTTTTGGAAGATTGGCTAGGAGTCCCTCTATTTTGTCAGTCTTTCAAAGAACCAGCTCTTTAATACACTGATTCCATTGGTTTTTAAGTATTGATTTCATTAAGTTCTGCTCTGATATTTATGATTTTCTTCCCTGTACTAGCTTTGAATTTGATTGTTCTTGTTTTCTAGGACCATTAGCCACTGTTTTAAAAATCAAAATTTTATGTTCATCAGTGAGAACCAACCCATGTAAGTTTTAATTCCTAACAGTATTAGAAGTTCTCGATTGCTGAAAGGCATTTGAGTTAATAAATAGTTCTCTAAAGTGTAAAGAATTGGGAATAGGTCCTAATGGAGCAGCAGGGTCACTGGAGAAAGGCAGCAGTCATGAGAGAAGGGAGGATCACTATAAGCAAACAGAGCCCTCCTAGTGAGGCTTACAAAGTTGATAGATCATGTCATCTCCTCAATTAAAGAGCAGCCTGAGAATCCAACCCAACTCTTTAGACTTTCTTCAGGTTGGAACCCTGAAATCCTGTGACTTGCTACTAGACATTATCATCCACAGTACAAAGACTTGGAATATCTGTGTTCCAATTATAACTGATTTTTATAAAGGAGAACATTGGATAAAGAGAATGGTGAATGGCAAGGCAGATGCTTGGTGTCCTTATCTTCAGGTATCACATCCAATAAATAAATACACGGGGCTGTAATGCTCAGTCTAATCAGCCCACGTGGGTGGATTATGGAGGGCCACTATAAACATTAATTTCTCAAATTAGCTTAGAATCCACATAGGACAGATGCATCAAACTATCTTTTCATTCTTTAAGCCCACAACTCATCTGACTGCCATGGTTGTGATGCCACGTTCAACAATATTCTATTCCCTGGTTTCTCTTCTGCATCCTCCGGGTAAAAATATACCTCTTATTTTTTGTAAGAATAAAAATTTTGAAATACAAAATTCAAGATTTTTTTGGAAGTTCAGCTAAACGAATCCACCTTATGACTTTGATTTGCTACAAAAGGGAAGTGGGGGGAGAGAATCAGTGTTCTTAGTCCATAAGTCTGAGCCAGGTTTTACACCAACGTAGAAAATGTTATCAGTGAATCCCCTGAAAGCATTCCTTTGATGTCCCCTCTCAATACTCTATCATTTTATTTTCTGTTTTTTTCTGCAAACATTTTCTGTCAGAGGACTTGAAAAATTAAGTGAAATAAAGGTAATCATACTTACCACACCTATTATACATGATAGATACATGTTTATTTACCCCCTACCCTCATCTCTGGACTTTAGTGAGATTAAAATGTTAGCAATCAGAAAATTTTAAGCTCATACTAGATTACGAATTCTATATGTTCAATGAGATTTATGTCAGTCCTATGAGTTCAGAGAGAAATAATTTTTTTCCAACTTCTCAGATACTAACAAATTAGCCATGTTATTCAAGACTATTTTAGGGTGTAGAAAAAGGGAATGGGCTCCTTTTAAAAAAGAGCGATTAGATGACAAAGGAGTTTTAAAAATATGGAATTCCTACAGATAAATAGTGAGTATAAGTAGAAAAGCTATCCAAACCCAAAGTTCCAAAGAAAAGTAGTTTAAAACATTATAAATCATGAATGATAGCAAAGCCAAATGCAGCCATAACTATGATGATAAAAGTAGTATCAAAAGAATAATTAGTGAATGTTATAAGGGGCAATAAAAATGTTTGGGCTGGTTACTGTTTTGAAGTGATCTTTAAGAATGGGAAAGCTGCTAATAAAATCCATTTTAAGAGTTACTTTCTTTTGCATTATGGTAATGAAATCACTTAACTTTTGCAGTACCTTTTTCATACAAGCAGAATTAAAAATACAAAACAACCAACATAAGAAAGTTCTGTTTCCTGCTAGTCTGCACCCCTACCCCACCCCTATAGTGTCTCAGAGTTGAAAATTGTAGGTTGCAGTTACAGTTTGCCCCATGAGGGTCCCTTTGCGACTTTGCCAGCAGCCCACAGCTGTCTTAATCCTCCATTCTGGTTAGAATAAAGATGACATATGTAAAACCACATTCACCACCATGATGAAAACAAGAATGCATACCTCGTTCAAATTTTAACCGCTGATAAAGCTGAAACTGATCCACAGGTACCAAACAGGCAATCTGAAACCAGAGACATTAGAAAGAGAGATTTCAGTCATCATTGGGACCTGAGTCACCAGCCTTTTATAATAATTCTCTCTCTAGCTTTGCTTACTCTGTTCTCCCTCTGCCGGTTATTTGCAAATGTCTTTTTCTGTGCATTGCTCACTGCAGCAACTTTTAAGCATCTACCAAGACCAGATAACAAAATTTTATTATTTAGACTTCCCAAGTTGGGGACATGCATGAAAGATGTTCTTTTTTTCTTTCTATATTCATTTAAAAAATGTAAAGACTATAGTTCTAGCTTTGAGCCCTAAAAAGCTAAGGTCAAGTAGATAGAGCCTCAGGAATTATGAAAACTTCTTTTGTCACTTGGGAAATAGTGACTTCCAAACAACATAAAATATCTTCTGACAAGTTACTTCTTGGAGGTCTTAGCTATCACACATTGCCATTTGAGACCCCGACAGAAAAGAAAAGCCTAAGACATTTCCCATGGCTAGACTCTAAATTTTGCATTTTACGTAGTTAAATGAACCAAAGGTTTACTAGTAAACAAAAATGACTCATAGTTAAGTGAATGACATTTCAGATTAATCATTCTAAATTATACTTCAAAGGCTGATACAGGAACAGCTAACTGATCTTTGACTGGTAGTCTAAAAATATTAAGTCCACTGACGTCAAGATATAAGTATACTGACATTGCTCAAAGGATTTATAGCTGAGGAAATAAATAGATTTGATATTAGCCTTTTAGAAGTTAAAAAAGTTAATACAGGACATAATGTTGACCTTACATTTTCAATTCTCAACTATTATATGTAATAGTAATACATAACACATGCATATATATGTATTTATAATATACATCCATACCTAACATACATAAACAAAAATGATTTTTTGTATAAAATATATTTAGATACAAGTTTTTTCAATTAACAAAAGAAAGTCTGCATTGAGGATACCAAAGTAAGATGATGAAGCTAAAATTATATTTAACAAATGTAATACATTTTAAAATGCATCAAAAATCTATTCCACTCACAAAATAATCTCAATTTATTTATTGTGCAAATGAATTAAACTAAGTTAGCTAAAATATATGAAGGACCACAGCCCAGGCAAGTAAATCTTCCCCATGCTGATTCAGTTCAGCTGTTATTACAAGTTGATTGTCAGTTACCAGTCCACCACAAGATGTATCTCAAATAAAATTCAGAATTGGAGACAAAAGATATGGGCAAATGAAGTGATAGGAGCCATTCAGGAATCTGAGCATGTTTCTTGACTGTCTTAGGTCATAATGCATGAAGGACAAATAACCTAATGCTATTTCTACTTTAGGACCAAGTTGACCTTGGGACCCAGAATTGGGACCCGGAGACCTTGATGATATCCCATTAATAATCCCCCCAAAGCTGTTTGAAGTCATTGATTCTATGGGACAATCCTGTACATACTTATCCCACCTAAAATAGTTGGTGGATTCATGCAAATGGTTTGCAAATTCATCCAAATTACACTTAACCCTTCTGATTAGTCAGTGATGAGCAACTCACATAACAGTGAAGATAAGGCAAAAAAGAAAAAAAGATCTTCCAGACATAGAAAGAAATGCTAGACATAGAGAAGAATGACAGCAATTAATGTGGGAAAAGATCACCAGGACAGCAGTGGATGTTTATTTCAAATTAAAAAGATAAATTACACTAGAGTACCCATTACTCCAACAAGGAAGCTGTCTCTCATTTTTTGTGTCTTACTCTACTCTGAATCTCCTGCTTATTATTTCCCAAGTCAAAGGCTTTCATGCCATTAGGCCTTTAAAAAGTAGATCAACTTTTCCATTGACAATTATATTCATAAAAAGTTAATCCCCTCATTGCTCATTCCAGTCAGTTCTTCTGGTATCAAGATGACACACAGAACACACCGTCTCTTCTACTCCAGACCTGCTTCTGGATCCTGCTTTTTTTCCATTTGCTCACTGACTGACCACTGTTCTTTCAAGGCAGAAAAACAAGACTTTAAAGCCAGACATGTTGCTGAGCTTTAGTTCTCAAGAGAAATGTTAAAATTAACATATCAAAGGTTTTCTAAGCAAACATTGAAGGGAAGAAAGCCATTAGACTACTAGTAGAGTTTAGGGATGAAGAATGAAATTTGACTTGAATTTTTGAAGTGTTGATCCATTTTAAGAAAGTTTGTTTTTTGTTTTTTGTTTTTGTTTTTGTTTTTTTTGATACCGGGGATCAAACTCATGACCTTGCGCTTGCGAGGTACATTTCCAGCATTGATCCATTTTAGAAAAAGTCACATAAACAGAAGAATAGGCTCCTTGGCAGATGAACGATGCAGAGCTGTGACTAGGAGGTGATGCTGTGGCATACAAGTTCATAGCGGATGTGAAGGTCAGTAAGGTCATTTGGGTGGGCTGCACCTAGCTGTCCCATAGGAAAAGTCATCAGAAAGAAGTTGTATGAAGCAGATTTCCAGATTGACCACACTGAGGAACCGGGAGGAGGTATAGAACTAGAATATGCCTGGAACTAGAAACAGTGCCAACTGAGCCCTGTTTCTGGTCTGACAAAGCCCAGCTTGTATTCAAAACAAATGTTAGGGCAACATAAAGTCATAATAATTCACTACAGGAGGATAAGACTATGAAAATTCTGTTTCTCATTATATGTGATATTTTGCCCTATAATTTCAATTCCTGTTGATAATTCCTCCCTAAAATATTACTGTGATATTTGCTTAATAATGATTTTCTATTTCTATCATTTGTTATCTATTTGGTGATTAGAAACCTGTAAGTTAGACCACAGTAAGACATTCTAGTCTGGTATTGCACAGTAGGGTGATTACAGAAAACAATAACCTCCCACACAATTTAGAAAGCTAAAAGAATGGCATGTGAACACTTTTATCATAAAGAAAGGATTGATGCTCGAGAACTTGATTTAAACAATGCACGATGTATACATGTATTGATGTATCATATGGTACTCGACTAACATGTAAAATTTTATGTTGTATGTATCAATTAAAAATGAACTTACAAGGCAGGCATGGTGGTGTACATCTGTAATCACAGCACTCAGAAGGCTGAGGCAGGAGGATTACTGCAAGTATGAAGCCAGCTTGGGCTACAAAGTGAGTTCAAGGCCAGCCTGAACTGCATAGTGAAAACTTCTCTCAAAAAAAAAAACTTTAAAATCATATATAAATAAGAATTATATGGTAGGAAAGAGCTGTCCCTTCTCCATTTAGTTGCTTATTTATTTTATAACTTAAGTAAATATATAGACTACTGATGCTTCTTCTTTTATTCAGAAAATTCTAGTCTATTGCTAACTAGATCCATATTTAAGCAGTAGTAACCAAGTCTGCCATTTTCTACTTACTAATTCTCTTCTGAGCTCTGAAATCACTTCCTTCAGATCAATTACTTAAGTCCACGGTTTAGTTCCATTTTGTTTTTTTCTTTGAAATTTGTGCTAATTTACCTGTTAATCAGCAATTTCTCTCCTCCTTCTATTCAAGCACTGAAGACTACTTTTCCTTATCATCATTCTAGAAGTTCTTTTCAAAAAGAAAAAGGTTTTTCAATTAAAAAAATTACCTCAGATTCATTTAACAGAACAAAAACAATAATAACAGAAAGAAAATAATACAAAACCTTTGTCTATTTTCTTTGTTACTGTTTTGTTCCGGTAAAAATGGGCCTGAGAATACTTTTAAAATACCCAGTTTGTACCCTGCACAAACTCTTTGCTTTTTCATGCCACTCACAGCCAAGCATAACAGGCAAAAAGAGGTCACCTCCACATGAGGGTACTGTAAGAGTTAGATATAATGGTTAACTTGGTATCTCTAACACCCATAACTGAGAAGAGATAAAACATGAGATACACCCTTCTTTATCAGTATTAACTAACTATGAACATAATGTTTGATAAACATTGCCAGCTACACTGACACTAACGTAGGAAAAGAAAGGAGGGAGAGAGAGAGAGAGAGAGACAGAGGGCAATAGGTGCAGCTCATCTCAAAAGCATTTATGTTGAAAGTGGTGTGTGACCCCATTAAGTCTGACACCTATTTACATGTACATGTGACCCCATAAACAATGTACATGGCTTTTTACTGAGAATACTAATTCTCAATCAATAAAATAAAATTGTGAGAGTAGAGTTAGGGATAGGCTACCAGGCAGTAGGGACAAAAGGAAAAAGGACAAGATTTTATTTAGGGTTAGCCCTTTAAATCATTCTTCTGTAACACTTGTGTTACAGATTGAATATAGACTTCAGCAGATGAGATGTCATTTATGAATGAGACTATGACCTGTCAAGGGTTAGCCAGTGTTTGGGATGGTATAACTTGTGGAAATTCGGTCTCAACTCAGAAAATAAAGACTGTTGAAACAATCAAGCTCAAGGCTCTTTATCTAAGGCTGATCAGAAATCATATCCAGATTGAAGAAGAGGACACCAATGAGAGGTGAAAGGCAAGGCCCACAGGGAAGTGGAAGACAGGAGGAGGAAGAGTGGAAGACACAGGACCTGCACAGTCCCCGGCAGGGCCTGTGTCTGCAGAAACCTCAGTTCACCCATGTAAACAACATGCCAAGCTTTTCTGACTTCCAGTATTCTATGGGCAGTAGAGACATTCTTATGTGTACATCCTCGTGATACACTCAACCAATCACTGCTTCATTCTCTTACACAATATTTGCCAATAGTTATACAGTAACCTTAGAGACCTTATTCTCCACTGACATGCAGTTTGATATTCATCCCCAAATGAAGTTTTATTTATTTATTTTGGTAACAGTATGAAACTCATGACCTCACGCTTGCCAGGCAGGATCTTAGGCCACTGAGCTAAATCCCCTGCCCTCAAAATGAAGTTTTAAATCAATGCTAAAATGAAATTCGTTGGGAGCCTGAAAAATACCTAATAACTATAGTTTGGTGAGTTCTTATTCCCTTTGCATCCCCAAAGTTTAATTTTCCTCCACACAATGTTTACCGCAGCACACTGCAAAGGTTATTACAGACACACCCATTCCCTTTCTGTGGTCAGGCTTTCAGCCACATGACAGCTGTCCATGCTCACCTCTTTCTGCTCTGGTTCCCCACTATGATAATGAGAAGGAAATATAGTAAGAGAAGAGAGGGCAAGTGCAGGCAGATATGAGGTGACTTTTGGAGAACACTTGGATCCTGTAACTCCAGCAGGCTTCCTCAAAGCCATCCTAAGTGACTACACAATTTTAAAAAGAAAAACTGTAGCTATTTTGCCAATACAGCTTCAAATTCCTTAGCACTCTACTCCTACCTCTCTCTTAGGCTTCCAGAATGCTGTGCTCTAAATCCCTTCCTAAGAAACCCTGAACTCCCTTTTTTGGCAAGAGCAGTTGTATCTCCTTCTCCAGTGCACGTTGTGGCATTAGCAGTAATAGGCAGGCTAGCCGTTTCAGCGCCCCAGGACTTGGAAGGGAGACCGGTGGGTGAGAAGCTCTTTCCTGTCCTTGGCCACCAGCTGGAATTTGGAAGAAGTTCAATCTCTCGGGCTGTGTAATGGCAGGTAGTATTCACATGGTTATGCACGTGCCCTTCTCATTTTACACGGTGTAAGCATTTGGTTGATTCTCACCAGCAAGCGAGGAAAGATACTTCCAGAGCACTGTAAGGAACCTGCTTACATTAGCTAGTGCTTTTTTTGAACAGGGATACAGACTTCGAGCAAGGGATTTGCTTGAAGTAATACTATCAGAACAACAATCTGTGTCTTGTTTCATCACTACTTGTTGGACAAGATTCTTGGATCAAGTGTATTGGAAAAGCCCTGTAGAGCAAGAGCTGAAAGTACAGGATGATGCAATGAAAGAAAGTCTGACTTTCCCTGGCTCCCAGGGAGTTCACCTCCAGCCCCGAACCCTCCCCAGTCACTGCCTCTCACCAGCTTCCATGCCACTGAAAGCAAGGCTGCCATTTCCTACCGGTTCCTGCATAAGCAAACAGGGCATGAACAGGGCACCAAATGCTTCACTAGGAGGCTATTCCTGATAGAAAACGTGAGGCAGCATTGCCCCCGCTAAGCAGATTGCGAGGAACCAAGGTGGTCACAGAAAGAGCCAATTATGAGAGCTAGACCTCCACAGGACAGGTGCAGAGGAAACAGCCTAAATTCCTAGTGTCTTTTGAAGATGAAGAAATGTTATGCCCACATGTATTTTACAAGACGATGAATGATAAAAAAATATATATGTACCATAATAGAAATAGCAGTAGGACAAAGGGAACCAGTTTAAGCAGAACTGTTGTAAACAAGCGTATGATATTTATGTGTTACCTGTATAATTAAACATTTCTTTTTAAGTGGAAGGGAATAGTCATGGAGGTGGAATCCGGTCGGGCATCCTATGACTGAGTGAGTCCCATTGAGGATGAGTCACACATTATCATAATGACTGTGTGTGGTGAAATCCTGAGGCAAAGCAAGTTAGAAAGGGAGGTGGTGCCACCCCATTCACCTGCGTGTGGCACTGTCATGTGTGTGGCATTTCCTTTCAGAGGAGATGGGCCATATAAACCGATAGAGTTACTCACATCTCCTCTATCCTCTATTCAGTGCTCAAGTCAGAATGAAAACAACCTCTAGCACTGCCACACTGTGTCACTGCTCTGAAAAAAAAAAGTAGCACGTTGGTTAAGAACACTGGACTATTGTACATTGATGTCCATCCATGGCCAGGCTCTTAGTAAGACCAGTGAGCACAAAAATGGCTCACTAATGCCCTTGAGTGTTTTATTACTCATCTAATGAGAAAAAACTGCAGGGAATTTAAGTTAGTTTCGTTTCGAATACAGTTTTGTTCTGTTTTTTTCAAGTATGCTTTTGTAATTATTTAAGAGCCATTATGGGTTTGTTTGGTTCTAATATAGCCTAAAAGTAAAATTGCTTTTAGAGGAAAACTGAATCAACAGGACTAGAAACAGGACAGCGTGGACGTGAATGAATACAGCTGGAAAAGGATAAGGAGCACAAAGAGAAAATGTCTATACAGAAAGTCAGAAGAATTAAGTCATGTTCTAGAGAACTGTGAGAAGCCACGTGTGGCTTCACCCACTTGCCTGAACATGTTAGCTCTGACACTCAGCATCTAAACCACCAAGTTTATGGTTACTTTACTGGAAAGTCCAAGGCAGCACCCTGCAACTGAGCTCTCGGCAGCCATAGGACTGCTCTAAGTCTTTGCTATCCAGCCAGGTAGCCATTAACCACAAATAACTCTCCAACACTTAAAAATCATTATTGACTTGCACAAGTGAAAAACTGAATTTTTTTTTCTTGGCACTGGAGATTAAACCCAGAGTCTTCACTCTGAGCTACATCTCCAGCCCTTTTTAAAACTGTTTAAAATTTGAAACAGTGCTTCATTTAGTAGCTAAGACTGGGCTTGAACTTGTGATCCTTCTGACCAGCATGCTAGAAATTACAGGCATGTGGCACCAAACTCAGATTTTAATTTTATTTAATTTTAATTGGTTTAAAATTAAATAGCTACAAGTGGTTAGTGACTACTGGATTGGAAAGCATAGGTCTACAAGACAAAAATCTGATTAATTCCATGGGCTTATTTCAAAGCGTTATCAAACTACTCATTTATATTTAGCAGATTATGCATCTGGATTTAAATAAGATTTCATGTCAGACCCAGCCCTTGTTACCTGCCCCTTCTCTCGAGTTTCACTTTTATAAAGATCTGACTCATTGTTCATTGTCTGCCTGTTAAATCAGAAACTCCATCTGGATAGCAGAGGGATTGCTTTATCCTCCGCTCAGTCCCAGCCTGGACCAGGGCCCCCACACTGCACACTCTCTCATAACACCTGGAAGCAGTTGGACACCATTGAAGCAGGTCAAAAAAGAAGCTTTTGTTCTGGGGAGAGATCATGCATAAAAAGATGCTCCCAAGCACTTCAATCTCTTTTTAAAAACAATTCTAAATTATATAGATCAGCCATTTTCTTGGTAGTTAGTCTTAATCCTCCTTTAACTTTCTTCTACCCATCCTCCACACAAAAGTAAATAGCAAGATTTACATATTAAATATTACTTTTTTATTAAAAACTAGATCTCATTATTTTCTTAAATCCCTTCTAAATCATTATGTGCTCCAAATTGTATGCTTCCCTAAAAAAAACACTTCAAATTCAGGTACCTCTCAGTTTATCCACAAACTAAACTCAGATAATCACTGTGTTAGGTTAGAAATAATTTATAATAAACTGATTGTTTTGCTTACAAAGGGTGTACAATTAGAAGCATATAAATTTAGAGGCAAAACACATACATACATCCATGCACACATCCACACATATCTACACACATCTAGAGCTATACACCCATATACTATGGTGCTTTTAATGACCAACTCTCGTTACACATTCTATCTCTACACCTAGTTCTATACTTAAGGCAATATAAGTATGATAGTCAGTTAGAATTCTGGCTCTTCTACCTTCCAGATATGCACATCTGAGTAATTTACTTAGATCCTCTAGGCCTCAATATCCTTATTTGAAAATAACACCCAACTTCATGAGGTTTATTGAGAAGATTAAGTTGTATACTGTCCATAAAAGCAACCAAATAGTACATGGTTCAAAGCAGGTACTCTGTGTTTTCTGACTGGATAATTTATTTCGTTTGTTTCTTGTGATTCCTTTCAGAAATCTACAACTCCCTATGAATTAGACAACAATTCATTATATTTTGAATATATATAAACAAAAACTAATGATTAAAAGGCAAGTTTAAAAGCAAATCAATGATCAGAGATTGAACAAAAAATGATGAGGTAAATTATAGACAGGAAAATATGAGAACTCACTTAGAAAAGAAAGACTTTTTTGGTTCAATTGAAAAGTCTCTCTCTATTCTTTGGAAATCATTCAAATCAGACCACTATGGTAGAATCACAGTAGATTATACATTGCATACCTGTGGCTAATAAATGATCTACTTATCTTTAATGTTTTCCAGATCCCAAGACCACTTAGTTTTCAGCCTTCAAACCTCACATTTGGTCAATTTGATTTCTAGTCTCTTTGCCTGTTTTAGAGCTTCTGTGTCTTACAAGATGGCATATATAAATAGAAGTAAATGACAGCTTTAACAATTTGTATAAAAAAAATTCAACACGATATGGCAACAGGGTGCTCCTTTCAAAGATTAACCTCTGTAATTTGTTGCTAGAGTCCCCAGTAGGGAGGTATGTAAAGAGTCACGACTGTAATAAATAATATCCACAGGTGAAAAGGGGAAGTCATGGCACATGTTCATACCTCAGCTTCCTGCAAGGTCCCATGGTTTAGGCACACCATGTCAGGGCAAGTGATGGGAGACCCACATCCTTCTCGGATTGCCAGTTGCATGTACTGCTTCAGGCACTAGAAGTTGAGAAGAAAAACGACAGACAATTACCCATCCCATCACAGTAGCACAAAAAGTTACATAACAGAGCCACCACTGCCTCTTCCTTAATCGGATGTTCCAGGGTTCTTGTACTCAAGAAATGTAAGTTATCACAAGTGCCAAAACTAAGAACCATCACTTTGCACAGAGACTGGCAATTAATTATGCGTGACTTCATCCCAAGAGTTTATTCAAATCAAATTCCCATATGCTCACACAATTTATCCACCATAGATTGAGAAAAGAAGTCTTCTGCACTCATCGCGAAGATTTGAGTATTTTAACATACAGAGCTTCCTACTTTCATTTTTAAGTAGTAGTCCTCACCCTCAAAGTTTACCCAAAAGTAGAATGTAACTCCGTGATGCTGGCCCTAAGATACACCAACAGAATCAACATAAGACTAAGACAGTGACTTATCAAGGAACATGTTAAAAGCTAAAGATAGTGTTACCTTTGGGACAGTCAGATGACTTCCTGCTGACCAAGGCAACAAAGACAATTTGGGAGAATGAGAACTCCAAAAACAGAGGCCTTGGTTAATGACATGTTGAGGAGGCTTGAATAAAAAGAAGGCACTAGTCACTGGGAGAAAATAGAATTGAGCTTAACAGAAGGAACCCAAAGGAGAAGGAAGAGGACACCCAGTAAGACCTGGGTCTACTCATTGGCTGCTGTGTGGTCCAGACCTTGGGCAATGAGTGGGTCATGAGTCAGACTAAGAATGCAGGGGGACTGCTACAGTCCAGGAGGACTCCAGCACTTCCACTTACCCACCAATCCAGCTTAACATGCCCACAGGAAGTTAACTGACATACAGTAGCAGATTCCAGGTTCCACATCTACAGACTGGACCACGTTCTGATCCAAAATGTTTGGGGGGAAAATGCTATATTGCTGCTGAAATATATTATGCAGTTAAGGCTCCGGTGGCTGCATCTATACCAAGCACGTACAACCTTTTTTCTTGTCATTATTCCCTAAAAACACTATAACAGGTAGTTATATAATATTTTAGCCCTTATTAGGTATACTATGTAGGCATACTTTCAAGTACCCAAGGATATGGAAATACTGTAACATTTTATAGAAAGTACTTGAGCATCAACAGATTTTGGTATTGTGCAGTGTCTTGGAATCAGTCCCTACAGATACTGAGAAATCATTTTAGTTCCAGCAAATATAGCTAGGAAATACAAAAGTTGGCTCCTCGATTTCTACTAACTTGCTCATCATTAGTAAGCCTTTTTATATATGCAAGGCAAAAAGACATGGAGCTCAAATGTTTAAGTAGTAGACTGTTCCAAAAATACACAAACCAATCAATGAAGCAACGACTCTATAGAGTAATGGCTATTTATAACTGAGTCTAGATTTTGAAATGTACACATTTATGTATTGACTTACATTAAAATACTGCCAGGTAGCACTGCATAAACCATTATACAAGTCTATGGCCAGAATATTAATGGTAATTGTGGATCCTAAGGCTTTTGTAGACCTTTTTTTACTCATTTTTTCCATTTGAAAAGAAACCTAATTTGCATTGTTTAAAAACACGTGCTTATCTGACTTAAATGCCTATCACATGTGCTGAGAAATTAATGACCAAGGTCAACCATTTAAACCAAATTTGTATCTCTTTAAGTAGTTAACAGTTTCTTTTTCATTTTTTTCTATCTCACTAAGACCGGAAAATAACCTAAATATCCAACACTTAAATAAACTTGCTGAATTCGTGCAATGAGATGCTGAAGAACCATGAAAAACATTTTCAAGTGTTATTTAAAGGCATGAAAATGTTCATGTTTTAGTATAATCTGAAGGATAAAGGAAATCTGGGAACAGGGGTCCACTTAAATCACTTTTCTCCTGTGACTAACTTCAATGTGCATAGTAGATTTTGATGTTCAAGTTCTTGTCAAAGAGAAAAGTAAACAATTACTTGCTTCAAGATTACGGAGCCAAAGACTGTATGGTCTTAATACCAGGACCAGTAGTGGGCAGGAAGAAGATAAGGGGAAGAACGTCAGGAGACAGGCAAAGCCCCAGCACAGCAATAAAGTAACTCACACCCAGAGGATCTACCAAAGGATAAGGAACAAAGACACAGTGCTTTGAGGACTTCTTAACCTTCCATCAGTCACACAGGTTCCAGCATCACTGCCTTCACCCCAACGTGGGTGCCAAGTAAAGACATGGAGGTAAACAGATTCTAAATGGTCTTCAGGCTTCCGAGGAAGGCATCTGAGGACTCCAAAGTGACCAGTTCAATGAACTACAGAACCTAGTAACTGGGTCCAGACCCCATTCCACTCCACCAGATGACCATAGGAAAATGATTCTGCCTAGGACCCAGATTGTTTTCTCTTAACCTTGAAAAAAGAGACTAACATTTGTTATGGTTACCTCATAGTGTTTTTAAACACATGCACCTGCACACACTCATGTGTACACACACACACACGCATGCATGCATGAGTGTACACACCTCTGAAATTTTATTTCTGAAGCCCCTTATAAATTTACAAATTGCAGAGTCATGTCATGTCTTTATTCTTCACTTGGCCTTTAGGAGTGCACAGTCATTTCAACTAAATAGGTGCATGTTTTTAAAGTTTAATTAATCCAAGTGAATATAAAGTTTTCTATCAAGAACTCCATAGAAAACTGTTACACCTTGGACCTTCTGAGATACCCTTTCTCTGCTCCCTGTAGAAACCAGTGAGGGATGAAGAATGAAGAAATTTTGTAGACAGAGCAGAGAGCTTTAACACAAGATTCTGTGTACTTCTCAGCAAGCTTCTCCTCAGAACTTAATGTTAAATATGAACTAGAGACACTATATGAGTCTCTCTGAGCAAAAAAAATAAAATAAAATCATTTAAACTTAAAGTGAAATGTAAGTTTTGCCATTAATTTACAATAGATGTTCCATTTCTTAATGCAGTATTCTTGGGTACACTGCAAACCAAGACACCCCAGCCTAATGAATTTTTAAAGTCTCCCAAAAGCACTATTTTAGCTACAAATAATACTGTGTAACCTATGATTTCAGAACAGAAACTGGAGTTGTTCACATTGACTACAGGCTTTAAGTACATATACCCTCTCTTTTTATTCCATGAAACACTTGGTGGAGATTTGAAATGCATGTTGTTAAGTAATCTTAGAGCATGGGCCTTTGACATGCCTTTGCTGTGTACATGCATTTCTACTAAGAATTGGAGTGACGACAGTCCTAGTTATTGCTTTTCACTGAATTTTCAAGCACCTTGGGTTCATTACATACCTTGTATTGGCTCTCATCAAGTATTTTAACCTCAAACTGACCCTCTCTTCTTCAATAATTCTGGCTAATAAAGCACAAAAGAACTGAGGGCATTGACATGAACTCCTATGTGTTTTGTACAAACCAAATATTGGTAAGCTGTTAACAATTCTAAAGAAAAAAAAATGGCATCTAGCTTTTAAATAGAGAAGCACAGAAAAGAAAACCTTCCAGAATCTCATCACATTTTAAAAATTACATTTCATTAAATAATGTTACATAGAAACCTTAAAATGCAAGTTTCTTAGCAGCTAACCAATTCTAAGAAGAATATTTTGGGTACATTTCAAAACACCAGAAAACCCATGAAAAAAAGAACAACTTTTTCTTTTAGTCAATACCTTATTTAATGTTATTTAATTAGTTGGTAGAATACAGAAGTACTATTAAGGCCATAAGGGCCAAGTATAATAACAAGGATTATTTGTCAAAGTCACTTGGCAACCCTCAAGGGTTCAGATGAGATCTAACCAAGGATTTAACCACCTTAAATAACTGGTGTGGGAGATGATTTATATTCCTCTTCTAAATCACAGCCTATGAATAATATCAATGTAATTTTTCAAGAAAAGAATTTCTCCTAGACCACTTTTGAAGGGGCATTCCTCTAAGGTATTGACATCTGTTATGGTGGCATATTAGGACAAAGCATGTATGTACCCATCCAAGAACAGCCACAGGAGAGGCTGTTCATTATTTTTAAAATTCACATTACTGTTCCTCATTATCTATCCCTACACTATGCCTCTCTTAAGGTTTTTTCTAAGAAAAAAGAAGTACTCCAAGGAATACGAATGGAACTAGATGCCAACAAATGCCTCTACGTGTTGGGTAAGTTATTAGCCTCTCTAACTACATGTTCTCATTTATAAAGTGGGACAGCACCACCTGTGTTGCCTGCTCTCAAGGAAATGGGGAGCCTCCAATTGGAGTGGAAACATGAAAATATGTGAAAAGTTGAAAAGGTCTGCATGTATAAAGCACAACATTTAGATGTTTCTAAATGATGGATAGAGAGACATGTACAAGTGTAAGTCCCCAGACAGATGTGACCTGTAGAGATCAGCCTCACAAGGGTGGGTAGGGGAGGAAGGAAAAGAACAGGGATTGCTGGGGGAGGAGATATCAAGCACCAATAGTTCAAAGTTAAATTGCCCTCCACCCCAGGGTCCTGTCTGCTTCTGGATGCAGGTTCAGGGATCTTCAGGTCAAAGAGCTAGCAGCCCTCTTGGCTTAAAGTGAGTTGGTGACCTAATAACTAGAGTGTCTCGACCCTAACTCAACCATGGAGGGCGAGGGTGGCTAAAAGCCAAAACCTTGATAGACTTTGAGTATCTATTTTGCTTTTTATCACTCTTAATATGACATGTAAATTAAAGTGGATAGTCCATAAAATACAGCAAGACATTTCCTCACCATTACACATAATATCCTCACAATATCTCCAGTGTGTTCTAAAAAACATTTCCTATTGAGGCCAGTATTGTGTTCATTCCAGTTTGGACTATGATCTCTACACATGATCCAAGAATACAGCCCCCTCTGTGGGATGTCAGTGGGTTTAATTATCAGTACAATTCACATTGCTCCATATTCAAAAGTCTACTAACAAAAGTATCCTGATTTGATTTTTAAACAATTCAA